TCTCCACTGTCGTGTATGTCCAAGTGTGTATGCGTAAGTGTGGAGACTAAAGGACAACCTTGGTTATTGCTTTTTGGGCTTCTTCTATCGTCCTAGGCTGGTCAGCCAGAGAGCCTCTGGGACTTGCCTGTTTTCATCTCTCCAGGGCTGAGATTGTAAATGCACAGCAGCACACTCGGTTTTTTTTTTCCCGAGTTCTAGGGTTCTCGGAGTTGAAATCAGGTCCCCATGTTTGTGTCCTAAGTGCTGTCTCTTTCTACTTTCTTCTTTTTTTTTTTTGGTTTAAGATTTAGTTTATTTTTATTTTTACACACACACACCACACACACACACACACACACACACACACACACACACACACAGTGCTTTGAGGCCATAGGAGAGAGTCAAATAACCCAGAATTGTTTGTAAACTCTCCAACATGGGTTCCGGGATCCCAATGCAGAACCTCTACAAGAACATTAAGCACTGAGCCATCTCTCCACTCACGTGCTATTTTTAAAAAAGATTTATTTCATTTTTTTTACCCAAGAAATTTAACACCAGAAAACCTTCTACTTTCTTCTTGTGTTTTAAAGAGGAATTATAACATGTCTTCATACTCCCTCATACTTACAGAACCCCCCCCCCCCCGGGTGCCTGGCCCTACTCAGCAGGCCTAGGCCTTAGCACTCAGGGCATGTTAGAAGCCCTTGAACATAAGTGATTCGTGGGAACTATTCCCACAGTGTGCTGTAGCGGGCTTCACTCTGCATTCGTCTCGGGAGCAGATGGAACCGATGTGCTGGACAGAGGTGCTTGTGAGAGGGTTTATTTGCCGTTCACACTGGTTTTGGTATTGGAGTTACAGAAGAAAACTGCAGTGCAAAGAAAGGAAGATCCAATGGCTTTGGGCTGCCCTGCTGTGCGTGAGCCCCCAGGAGAGGAGCTGGCTCACCATGTGAGTGCAGTGGCCAGTGGCAATGCAGTGCTAGCTTTCCTGGGCTACCGAGAAGGGTTCTGGAACATTCTCTCTTCTCGTGTGCCTTCAGACGTGAGCCTGACAAAGCCCCTTAGGAGGTGTTCTGTATGTGAGTGTCAGGGAGAAAGAGGCTAAAGCTGTGGTTTTAGGACACCTGTGACCACATCTAATGGTCGCCACGGGAGTGAGCCTTAGTTGGCTGGAGAGCTGCATTTTCTGAGCTGTCCTCACACGTGTGCTTTGCCGTCATTTCAACTAGGAAGTATTTATTTATTTATTTATTTATTTATTCCCATAGATCTTTGTAGATCCAGGGCAACAGAAAAATCCAACAGTTCATTTGGAGATTTTTCTTTTTCTTTTTTTTTTTTTTTGCACACTCATTCCTCCTAGAACATAAAGTGAACTTAAGAAGTTAGAACCATGCCGTTTATTAGCTGCTTATAAAAGTGAGCAAGAAGTAGCTTCTTTTTTCTGAAAGTCTAAAATAAACAAGCAGAGAGAAGCGTTTTTCTTCTACAATATTCAGGAAACATAAGAAAAGGTACTTAGAAACGCACACAAAAATGAAAAAAAGATATTACAGGCATTACCAATATTTTATAAGGAAACTTGAAATCTATTTACATACATAAATACAATTGAGTTTATTGATACAGCTTCTTTGGAAGGAGAAAATAAAAGACACATGATCAGCTTTGCCAATACTGACCCGGCAGAAAGAGGGAAGGCACCCCAACAAATTACCAACCGACTAACCCCCCAATAAATGTATACTATAGAGTCAACAAAGGCATTTTGTTCAGGTGTGGAAAAAATATATTCTGAGATTGTTGTCAACTCATTTATTTTCATGTATAAAAGACCCTAAACATCTCATGCCCCCCAACAAAATTAAAAGAACAACAACCAAAAAAACAAAAAAAACCCCCAAAACTATCAAAACCAAAAAAATACCTAGGACTGAATGTCCCAGGAAAAAGGTATTTCAAGAAAAAAAATCTGCAATCATCAATTGCAGGCCTTTGGAGGGAAACCGCTTCTCCCTTGCCTGTCTGAGTATGCTTGTTGCACTGGTGCTTGGGCAGAAGTGCAGCCACTCAGCCATGGGCTGTGAGTTTCGGAGCTTTCTGCTGCCGGATCTGGACAGCAAGCAGATCCAGGGCGGCTGGCAGCGCCTCTGTTCTGTTGGAAGAAACATGTGAGCAAGGGAACGGCGGACTCACCCTGTGCTTTATGCAAAAGGAGTACTGGATCACCTGTGTTCTAGAACACTTGGTATGGGGTGGTGTGTGTGAGTGTGTGTGTGTGTGTGTGTGTGTGTGTGTGTGTGTGTGAGAGAGAGAGAGAGAGAGAGAGAGAGAGAGAGAGAGAGANGTGTGTGTGTGTGTGTGTGTGTGTGTGTGTGTGTGAGAGAGAGAGAGAGAGAGAGAGAGAGAGAGAGAGAGAGAGAGAGAGGAAACGGTGGACTCACCCTGTTCTTTATGCAAACGGAGTGCTGGATCACCTGTGTTCTGGAACACTTGGTATGGGGTAGTGTGTGTGGGATGTGTGTGTGCGTGTGTGTGTGTGTGTATGTGCGTGCGTGTGATGCCTCCTTCGAAAGTATGCAGGAGGGAGGAGGTGGAGTTTGGAGGAGGGAGAAAAAAAGAGAGAAAAGATATTGGAGAACACGGAGGGTGAGAAAAACAGAAGGAACTGAAATGTGTGTTAAAATCCTAAGTAGGGGCCAGAAGAAGCAGTAGAAATGGCTTATTCCAGCTTTCTTTTCCTGGACCAGTACCCCAACAGCCCCACTTCTCTCAGAACTGGCTTACGGTCTTACTGAAGACAGTGAAGGAAGCCACCCTGGTGAAGGCAATTAACACAATTTCTCAGAAGAGTATGTGCCGTGTGGAATCTTAGCTCCGAGACAATGAGTGCCGGGCTGCTTTTTTCTCTCTCTCTTCTCTGAAATCACTAAATTCTGTGTATGCTGGTAAGGGTTGAGGAAGCACTGAACGGCTAACCAGGCCATCTACGACAAAAAAATGAGAAGCTGATGCATGGTTTCCGGGGCAAAGATTCCAAGTGTGAGGTTATCTGGTCCCTCTCATAGGGCTAGAGTACCTTCAGGTATCAGAATTAACACGAGAAAATACAAATATTCTTCCTTTGTCTTTCCCCAGGATTTTCTTAGGCCAGATATGGCAACCTATGCTAAGAGGAACATCTACTTCTGGAGAAATAAACTAATGGTCCTTTCCAGAACGTGCTGTGGGCCAGCGGTGCAGCTGAGCGGTGGGCGTGCTATGCCTGCTGGGAAAATCTAATCGCCCTTCTCCGAGATCTCCTGCAGCTTTTCTCCAGACAGGGACAGCCTGCTAGCACAGGCTAGCCTCTTACCAAAGTGCTGTGCTCCGTGGAAAACAAAGAATCAATATATATATATGCATATATTTATAGATATAGATATAGATAATTCAAAAACAAGTTGTATTTTTAAATAAGTCCAGCTGTTTTCGCTGCCTGCAGCCAAAGATCTAATCTGAATGCTTAAATTTATAAAATAATAATAAAAAAATCCAACACTGTTCTGAAGTCCTGCTTTCAAACGCTCCTCGGAATTGACCTGACATCATTTCAACTAATTTAAGAGGTACATTAAAAACAACCAGATCAGTTTGAACACACAAGTGTCAAAATCAGCAGTTAGGGTTTATACGTTGTTGAACGACTGAATTTTGACCAAGCCCTCCACTATAACAAGAGTGCCTTTCCATTTACAGTGACCGTGGTATCTGTTTGAACCACAGCATGGACTGCAGAGACACGAGTCTTTCTTATCATGTTGATACACAGATAAAGTGCACAGACCCCAAAGGTTAGGGGCTCAGCCTGCTGGAAGCAACTCGGAGACGCTGGTGAGCAAGCAGCTTCCCGTAAGCATCCTGCACGGGTTGACAGGGTGTCTCCCACAACGGGCTCCTTCGGGCTTTTTGGGGTACACACTCTTAAAACTCAGCCAGTGGGCCTCAAAGGCACTATTACCCTTTCTATTTTGATCTTTGGGGTGCAGCCACAAGTTTTGGTTTTCGTCAATGAACAGGAACTAGTAGTGGAAGGCAATTAGAGGATCATATTCGCTGATTTGGGGTCCGCCAGCTTGCCTGAATAAACTCCCTTATAAAGCATGCCTGAATCAGAAGGCCTTCGGGCAAGCATACCTCCAGGCCGAAATAAAATCCTCTTCAGAGCTATAATCACTGGCACCTCTCTGAACCCTTTGGGAGTTTTGCCTTTCTTTTTGAAGGGGAGGAGCCGGGTATGAGGCCCTTTGTTGAGCCTGGCAGAAAATTTTGTACTTCTGATCCTTGGAGTGACCCCCAGTGTCTAAAATCGGATTGAAAACATTGCTGCGTTAGCTACCAACTTGTTTGAAAAACATAAAAGGGGTTTAATGTAAACAGTATCTCTAGGTAACCAAGCCGCCACAACACACCCTTTGTTTTTTTCTCCAGCCATCATCAACACAATAACATTTAACTTTGGCTATTATAAAGGAAAATGTAGTACTTGATATTTTTCTTAATATAAGTACATTTAAATAATTAAAAAAGTATCAACACATATGCAAATGTTCAAACATCAAGATACATAAATATCTAGGGATTTCTTTGTGGAAATACAGTAGTTAAAAAATGACCCAAAGTTGTAGCTGTATCTTAAACAAACAAAAACAAAACAAAACAAAACAAAACAAAACAAAAACAAAATCCCAGCTACAAGAAAGTCCAAAAGTTAAATAAAACGTAGAGAAGGGAACCGTATTTCTTTCAGTTGGTCAAAGGAAGAAAGTAGCAAGCTCAGATCTATACATATTTAAAAATAACGACCACCCAGATGCACACATTTTATGCAATTGATAAGGTGCGGAAAAGTAACTCCGAAATAAGAAATAAATGCCAAACTGGATGAGCTATGTCTTTCCCGCCCCGAACCAAAAAAATTCCACACTCTTTGGAATAAACAACGTGGTTAAAAAGTGAAGTCAAGGGTATAAAATCTTTCTTTTTATTCACAGCATTGCTAAATCAGAAGCATTCACAGTTTCCCTCCGGGAATCTTCCTGTTGGCCTCCAAGGGCCCTCCTGGTGGGGGTCTGTGCGTGGACGGCAGGTGCAGCCGGGCTCAGTCCCTCGAAGGCGTTCAGTAGGGCCGCCACACCGCCTCCTCCAGGCGCGCGGGTGGCATGTTGGTGGGCGAGTTGCTGTGGCTGCCCTCGGTCTCCACCACGTCGCTCTGGCTGGGGAGGCTGGGGTTGAGCAGCGCGGCGCCCGTGGACGCGTTGGTGCAGGGCGGCAGGATGCGCGGGGGCGAGCGCTCGCCGCCCACCATGGAGAACTGGTAGGAGCCGGCGGAGGTGCCGTAGTACAGGTGGTAGGAGGGCGAGCTGGTCTGGAAGGGCCCTGCCTGGGCCTGCGACGAGCCTGGGTAGGGCGGCGGCAGGTAGGTGTGGTAGCGAGAGGCAGAGCTCATGGCTGACATGCCGATGCCAATGCCCGATGTGACGGGCGGCGAGTAGGTGAAGGCGCCAGGGTAGTGCATGCGCGGGTCGGAGATGGACGGCAGCGTGGGGAACTGGCGCGGGTCGCCGAAGGCTGTCAGGTCCGGGGCCGCTGTGGGTGGGTGGAAGAGATGGTGTGAGTCTGTGGTCTGAGAGGCGAAGGCCTCCCTCTCTGCCAGAGAACACAGGACTGCCCAGAGTGTCCCTGCCCATGGAGGGGGTGGGGGCACTGAGTGCTCTGCCCAGGACACACAGGACTGCCCAGAGAGCTCCTGCCCATGGAGGGGGTGGGGGGCACTGAGTGCTCTGCCCAGGACACACAGGACTGCCCAGAGTGTCCCTGCCCATGGAGTGGGGGATGACAACTCTGAGATGGCTATTTACCCAGAGGGCTGATGCTGCCTGGCAAGAAGTGGATTTGGCCCAGCATGCTGTCATAGTGAGTGACGGCAGACGTTTTGTAGGGAGTCGTGCCGTGGCCTATGATATGTATCGTGACATGGTGTAGCATATGCATTTCGTAAGTACCGAAATGCCGCACACCTGGTAGGGCAATGTAACGCTTACAGTGTGCATGCATGTTAGACTCCCAGGATGGTGAACTGTATCCCATCAGTCAAAACTGACTGGAGGGAGCTTTGTGTGTCCCAGGAATTAAAAACGGGTTTTACTTTTTCAAATGGTTGTAAAACTGTTAAAACAAACATACACAGTTGGTTTTTTTTTTGTTTGTTTTTGTTTTTTTGTTTTTTTTTTTGCTTTTTGAGACACAGCCTCAGCCTGTAGCACAGGGTGGCCCTGTGAATCCTTTCTGGTGCCAAGTATCTCCCACTGCCCTTACGTAACCATGACAACAGAGCTCTCAAAGCTTGCCCATTTCTCTGTGGCCCTTCGCTGAAAAAACAAGACTATCTTCTATTTATCTTAAAATATTAATATTCATTAATATATTGGTAATATAATCAGTACATTGGCATAATGACATTATTATAGCAATATATAATGAGATAACATTACGGTAATTGAGGTAACGGATGCAGGTCTATGTTACTAATAGAATATAAATATGACAGCGGTATTATGCCGTTATACGTAGTATTCAGGCTGGATAATAGAAAACTGCCGTTTTCGTAGGCTCTGACCCCTTGGAAGTTGGCTAACTTCCTGCTATTTGACTTAATGCATGCTGTGGTGGTGATGGTGTTGGTGATTGGCATGTCACTTGTCTCCACGTCTGGCTTCTGACTGGTTCCACATCTGTGTTCAATGCACACACGATGCCATGTCTTTAAGACTTTGCCTCACCATTTCCTTTTTGATTATACTTATGCGTGTCTGGGCATGCGCACGTGTGAACGTTAGTGTCCACAGAAGCCGGAAGAGGGTGCCAAGTCTCGAGGAGTTGGCGTTACCCATGGTTCTGAGCCACCCTGCCTGGGAGCTGGGAATCAAACTCAGGTCCTCTGAAAGAGCAAGAGTGTGCTCTTACGCACCCAGCCATCTCTCCAGCTGCAGCTTCGCTAATTAGTTTGTCTGTTTCACCCAAATGGAGAGAACTTGTTGTACCAGACTTTTGTGCACGCTGAGATCTTGTCAGAAATGACAAACCTTCCGTATAATATTCATTTTGTGGGGAATGAATCTACGCCTCTACAGACGGCCACTGTCTGTCCTCCCGTGGTTCGCCGCATCCCTCCGCCCTTTGCTCATGTGCACGCTGCCTTTGAGGCACACCAGGGGGTGTGCGGGCCAGCATGGCTTCCCTTGAAGATCAGTTTACATTAGTGGCGCTGCTGGCATTTTTGCCCATATCATTCGGGTGCTTGGCTTCTGATTTATTCCTTGTGAGTTGTTGGGCAGCTTTTAGGTCCTTTACCCACTGGATGCCAGTGGTATCCCCCACCGTGACATCCAAAAATATCTCCAAACATTGTCGATAACCTGGGAATGGGTGTAGGGGAGCACATTCGCCCCTCCCCCCGGTAAGAGCCCCCGCTGTGAATAGGAGGGTGTTGTGGGTAGCTTGTGTCCCCTGGAACGAGAGTTCTCATATCCGCCCCTCCCGAAGTCACCAACAAAACAGCAGAGGCAAGAACTAAACACTCAGAATGTTAACTTCTCAAATGAACTTACAGAATAACTTTAAGCTCTGGGGGCATGTGGTCTGGGCCCTTTTGAGCCGAGCCTGGTAGGGGGAAATTTGAGGGGCGAGAGAGCTTCCTCTGAAAGGATTAATCCGTTTGTGGAAGACGCTGGCTGTGATCAACTTCCTCCTATTCCAAGCCTATTATTCCAGCGCGAGAGCTGCCGTTCTTGTTTCTCCCTCTCCCTCCCTCTCTCTCAGTAATCTTTATTGCTCTAACACAGTTTTACAAAAGGAACTCTTGTGTACATTTGGGGTGAATGTGAGGGAAATAGGCTCCTCATCAGAGAGGTAATTAGAGTTTATGGAAACAGCCAGAGTCTGCAGCAAACCCCGCTGCTAATGAGGAAACCAGGAGTCTGATTTTCAAACAAACACGCCTGCTAATGTTTTCAGAGCGAGTCAGACATGTGGGCAGGGAAAAGGCTGTAAGCTGACAGTGGTTCTGGGGCTGCCGGGGCTCGGCTGGCTGCCCTTTAGCGTCTTCTACAGCCAGGCCACACCTCATTCCACAGGGTTCATCCCTGCCCCCATGTGCGGCCATGTGGGAGCAGGCTCTGTGTCACTTGTTTTGCTTACACAGAGAGCCGCGACATGTTTGAGAGTTAACAGGAAGCTTCCCTCCATGTTTTCCTCCAGTTAGATTTATACAGCCTAGGGAGAAGCTGAAGCCCGAGGGAGGGCGTTAGACAAACACAATCAATTTGTTGTCATCCTGATGCAATACTCTGGACACAAACAAATGACTCTGCCCATTATCCCTCTTGCTTCATTTGCCCTGAGACAAAAAGGTGAATCCACTGGAAAAAATGAATGAAAGGTCACCCCGTTTCACAGCCCTGCCTGAACATGCTCTGCCGTCCCTTCCAGTTACCACAGGGCAATGTGGGGATGGTACCAAGTTACTGGAATCCTGCATGAGCCTGTGATTCGTCATGGGCCCAGCAGAGGGGTGATGTTACCGCCTCAGCTGCTGGGGCAGAGTAGCTGAAGATCTGAGATTACTGGTGCTATCTCTCTACACAAGGTCAAGTTCTCCCCCCTCCACCCTGTCCTCCCTGCATCATTTTTCAGTTTGTAATCATGGGAAACAAAGACTTGGGCCCTTTAGATATACTCAAATTCAAATGCTTGTTTTCATTTACAAATGATATTTTCAGTTATGTAATGGGTGTATGTTGGTGTGTGTGTGTGCATGTGCGTGTGTATGCGTGCACACACACACACACACACACACACACACAAGAGCGCTATGCTTCTGGATGCTGGAGGAAGAAGTCAGATACCCTGGAGCTGGAATTCTGGGTAGCTGTGAGCCAGCTCATGTGGGGCCCGGGAACTGAACTCATGCCTCCTGGAAGAGAAGCGGAGGCTCTTAACCACTGAGGCAGCTCTCTGGTTCTCTTTGTTCTCATTTTCTAATCTGGTTTGTCCTCTCTTCTTACAAACCAGCAGTCACGGAATCTGCCCGCCATCACACTATGGCTCTTCTATCCTTTTGGCTGGCCTTCCCCACTTGAGGAGCTAAGGTGACTGTGTCCCCCAAAGGTGACTGTGCCCCCTCCCCAGGAGGAAGGTCTGAGCATTAGAAGGCTCAGGTGTCTTCACTGGAAGTGCAAGTTTTCGTGGGATGGCGCTAACTATCCACCATGGCGGAGCTAGTCTGGGTTCTCCAGCCTGACAGGGACAAAGCAGCCCACTCCAGGCCCCTCCCACTGCCCCCAAAGGATTAAACAACCTGAGCAGATAATGGCTGCCTTAAAAGGATCTTCTGCATGACTCAGATTAATGCTGTCTGTCGCCCAGGTTGGCAGCTAAACATTAATTAACAAAAAGAAAAAGAAGGGGAGGAAAAAGAAGAAAAGGAAAGGTAAACCTTCACGTGACAGCTCCTGCCAGACAAGGTGTGCAGTCTGTGTGCAAGGGACAGGGACAGAGAGTGTATTGGAGAGGGAGGCCGGGTGTAGCCGAAGCCCACACAGGGGTCAAGTTCCCAGAGCTGTGGGCCTGGAGCTGCTTCCTCTCATGGATCCCAGCCTTCTCCTGCCCCAGGTTTACCACAGCACTTCCTAAGCCTGCAAGACCTGTGCTCAGGGCTTTATTTCCAGAGGGAGCTTTGCCAAGCTGAAGCTCACTCTCCTGAGCCTGTTCCCTGCCACCCATGAGAGCCTGTTTGTCATCTCTGGTCTTCCCTAAGGGGCAGCAGAGGTCACTTTTGGGTCCTGAAATGGCTTTTCTCTCTCTCACATTCCCGTGCCATAAGCGCCCTTCTTTCTAGCTGGTGTTGTTGAAGTCCCTATCATTAGGAACATAGTTGTGACGTGGCCCTCTCTTTTTTAGCCGATGGTGGCACTGGCTGATAGATTACCCAGGCCGTAATGAATGACCCCACACACCCATGTGTGTATGGGCAGTGCCGCTTGGACTTGATCAATAAAAAACAAGTGAAAAATGTTTAAAAGACATGAAGTTTAGAGGGAGATGCTATGCGGGAGCCAAGGGGCGGCTTGGGCAAGCTGACATGATCAAATGTGTCCCATACATGTCAGCAGCTCTCCAAGAGTAAAAGGAAAGCGTTAAGAGCCAGTCTGGCATGTGATCATGTGATCGCTGGTCAGCCGGTGGAGCTGGACCTAGGTGCGCACTTGGGGTGGTGACCAAGCTGAAAGACTTATGCAACACATCTCAAGGAACAGACCTACACTGGGGACACTTCCAAGGAAAACACTAAGTGTTTTAGATGCGGGCTGTGGTCAGCGGACAGAGCCGCGTCACTGACAGGAATCTGGGAGAGCCGACAGATGCTCCTGGAATCCAAGTGTCCCTGAGGGGACAGGCTTTTAGACACAGCCAGCTGAGCAAATGCCACAATTCCTATGTTACCCTCTGAATTCCTTAGACCATCGGCACCCATGCAAGTGTTGGTACGGATGGCCTGAAGTCAGGTGAGAGCAGAGAGAGGAAGCTGGCTTTTGTAGCTCCATCAAGAGCCGGGGCGGGTGAAGTTCAAGGTGCTCACTGCCCCCAGCTGGCACAAGTGGAGACATTTTGTGCATGTGTGTGTGTGTTCATTTATAGACACCCCTGTGTACAGGCACTTGTGCATGTGTGTATACATGTGTGTGCAGAGACCAGAGGCGGCCTTAAGTTTTGTTCTTCAGCAGGGGTCCGAGTCGTCTTTTGAGGCAGGGCCTCTCCTTGGCCTGGAGCCCTGTGATTAAACTCCATGTCCCTAGTGCTGGGATTAGAAGACTGTGACCCCATACTTTGCTTTTATACCTGTGTCTTAGGGAGTCATACTTGGTCCCCATGTTTGCAAGGCAGGGAGGGGCTTTACCCAGAGAGTCCTGGAGATTTCTGATGGACATGCTGGGACATTTTCTACTGGCATCTCGAGGTCAAGGACACTTCTAGCTAATGTCTGGTGCATAGGACAGTTCTGCCCCCAATAAAACATGATGCAGCCCAAATGCCAGTACCCCCAATACCATTGCTGGGGGCGGGGGAGACAGGCTACAGTAGCCGGGTGAGTCGGGGGTGATTTGTGATGGAGACTCTGACCCCCTGGTAGAACCTTAAGCAACTGTGGTGGTTGTCTGCAAACAGTCTTTCACAACATTGAAGGCGGCTGTCCTGACTCCTCTGCCTTTCTGCCTGCCCCCTCATCTGTTCTAATCTGCCTTCGAGGGCCCCAAAGCAAAACCTGCCCCTCCTCCACCACACATACAAGTGCATTGCAGGCCTCTTAAGGGTGAAGGGCTCTCAAGTATTTCACAGTTTGGTTGGGCTCTCAAGTATTTCACAGTTTGGTTCGGCTCCAATTTCAAAGCCCCGAACAGTAAGTTTCTTCTTTAGCCTTCAACAAAGGAGTTTTTTCCTGTAACTCTGATTTCCCTGCCCAGGAGCAAGGGTGAGTGCCAAGCCCCAAGGGCTCATAGGTTAAATGACTAATATTTAATGAGCTCGTATTAACAACAATTATGCTAACCATGACACCTGAGCTCTCCACCTTGTTCCTAACCCTCAGTCTGAACAGCCCTTAGCTGGCAATGTTTATCTTGGGGCATATTTGTTCCCTATTCCGAAGTGTACCTTTGTGCTGTTCACAGGAACCTGTGACAATTCACCACGGCTGGGGAGCACAGCCATGGGCTAGAATTCAGCTGGGAGGTGGATTCCTTTGCCAAAGGCACACAATCCTTACTTAGGCCACTTTGCCTTTCCAGAATAGTAGTCCCTGGCCACCACCCTTCCCTAGCAGACATGAGCAAACCCTTAATACGGAAGAGATGGACGGAGACACCTCTGTCTCCTCACTCTGTCTCCTCATTCGCTGCCTCTTCTCATGTCAGGAACAGTCAGTGCTAGGCATGGCAACCGTGCTGAGGTGGGTGACTTTGTCTTTGAACCCTGTTCTGCTCTGTATCCAGCCCGCTCCTTCCCTTTGTCTCCTATACTCTTCCAAAGCTTCCCCTCCAGACCCCTTGCAGATACGTTCTCAAGCGGCTTACTTGAAAGTCGACTGGAGAGTTCCGCAGAGAGGCTTGTCATGCCGCTGGCACGGCCAGGTGAGATGGGTGTTGCCGGGTGCACGGAAGAGGAGGTGATGGATCCCAGGTACTGGTAAGACTGATCATAGGACCACGGTGGGGATGGCTGGATCTGCCTCGCATCTGCGGAGAGATAGGGGTGTTGGTGACAGATGGAGTGGGGTGGCGTCTTAAAATGAAAAGGTCTTATAATGATAACTAGTCACCATTATTTAAATGATTACACATGTATGCATATAGCTTGTTCATAGAATCCAAGTATTTGATGCCCCTGTGATATGGTGGCTCCCCTTAAAGAGGAGCAGTTCATGTGGGATTTTAGATTTTTATTTCATAGTGTTTCCTTCTAGACGCATAACATTGCAGGTTATACTCAATGACTTTAGGGTCCAAACATGACCTAACAGCACAGCAGGGCCGGAGGGGAGCAGAACCGACAGGCTGTCCTGCACCTCATGTTACCCTAAATGTCTTGCTCCAAGTATGTGTGTGGGACACCCAAAACCCATACACTCAAATATTTCCTGCAAGGCATGCTTATATTCTCACTACACACACTTACCAAATGAACACATACTATTCAGATATTTTAAACACTTAAAAAGCAAACAAAAGAGGTTCTAGAACCATCACAGGCCTCTGGGGTGCGAGCTATGGTGTAGCAATCCGCTGTGCAGACAGCCTAGCACCCCCAGCCCCACGTCTGAAACGACACGAAGCATAAAGTGTTATGCCGTGATTCATGCTCCGTCATGCTTTACTGCGGTGAGAAGAGTCAGGCCAGGCCTTTCTAACCTCGTAACTAAGCTGTGCAATGTTGCATAATATTTCATAGCCTTTTAAAATATGCTCTGGAAAATGACCTTTACCATTCGAGCCCAGGTTCTGTGTTTTCTTTGTTGCTGCTGCTGTTGTTGTTCTTTTAAACACAGGCTGTAGATTCGGCATCATCTTACTTCCCACTGTGGTTCAGTGAGGATGGCACCGCATTACACATGCCGAAGCCGTCAGCCCATCAGCCCTCATTTCCTCCACCACAAGGAACCTCCGTGGGTCCTTTGCCAGTGGTGGGCCAGCAGGTGGTGGCCATGAGCCTCTCCGAGCAATTTTGGGTTGTTTTCAGTCTTTTGTTTGAGCCAAAAAAAAAAAAAAAACCCAACAAAGCAAAAGCAAACAACAACAACAACAAAAAGATGTGACAATACAGTGTTTTTCTGTGTTTGTGTGAGAGGTCTCTTTCCTTTGCTCTGATGGGAGTGGAAGTGGGGCCACCATGAACACAGGAAAGCCAGAATTGAAATAGCCGTGTTGTTAGTTGTTGCCTCACAGGGGAAAAAAAATGCGTGCTAGGCCCATCTGTCGGATCAAACCTTCATACTCCTCTCTGGAGTGAGATGATCTCCAAACACCATCTGGTGGCGACAGGTCAGGGTCCTGGCTCAGAATTTCTCCGTTTAACTTATGTGTTATGAGAGTCGAGGAAGAATCAGGTGGGGGATGTGAATCCAGGCGTGGTACTTAGATCCTAACGGGGGGGGGGGGGGATTCTGGGAAGTGCTAGCAGGGATTCAGTGGGAGTTATCCAGAAAAGGCCTCAGCCTGAGAGAGCATCACCGTCAAGCATTCCACAAAGCCCGGGTGAGATGCTCTTCTTGAAGGAGCTGCTTTGGGTAAGTCCATCCATCAAAGCAAACACAAGCTGACTCAGCACGAGTTGTGTGCCAGGCATGTGATAATGTGGCCAGTCATGGTGGTGAAGAGGCGCAATGCCCCTGCCATGCTGGGATTGATCAGGGCACAGCTTCGAAGTGCAATGCTTGGAAAGGCTCCTTCCTCATGGACTTGTCAGCACACTGAGAATTTTTTTCCATCCATCCATCCATCCATCCATTAATCTATCCGTCCATCCACCCATCCATTCATTCAACATTTGCATATTCATCGGCTGGTGGAATTACTCACTGGTTCTGTCATTTATGTCTCCACACACAGTTTTGTCGCTGGGGCCCCTGGGGTAGGGACTCACTAGTAAATGGTTTTACGGTCTCTACCTTCTAAGAGGTCCAGCCACTGGAAGGTCGAGAGGTCATAGAGACCGAGTGCTAACTTGTGATGTGGGAGTGATTTCTTATTAATAAAGAAACTGCCTAGGCCCATTTGATAGGCCAACCCTTAGGTAGGCGGAGTAAACAGAACAGAATGCTGGGAAAAAGAAGCTTAGTCGAGGAGTCGCCATGATTCTCCCACTCCAGACAGACGCAGGTTAAGATCCTCCCTGGTAAGCCACCTCATGGGCTACACAGATTATTAGAAATGGGTTAGAACAATATGTAAGAGCTAGTCAATAAGAGGCTACAGATAACGGGCCAGGCAGTGTTTAAAAAAATACAGTTTCCGTGTAATTATTTCGGGCATAAGCTAGCCATGCGGGCGGCTGGGTGCCGGGGACACAGCCCCGCCGCTCATATCACTACAAACTTGCATGCCTAATTTGGACATGCAAATGGCTGCTTCCAAGGCAGAGGGAGAATGACAGTGGTGTTTGTGCTGTGCTGTGTGCTTACATTCTGCACTGGAGAGGAGCAGAATGGGAAGGCATTGGGCATACGTCACCGATTTGGGGTTGAATTCTGCCTTTACTGGAAACTAGCTTCAGCAGATCTCATCTTCTCCTGTCTGTCAAGGAAGAAGCAAGCTACAGGAAAAGAGACATGTCAGGCTGTGTGGCCATTGTAAATGCTCAGTCAGCCTGATTGACTTCCATAATTGTATTATTGCTAAAGGAAATGCAGTCCCGAGGTGTAGCTGATGCTTCCTGGGAAAGGCAACGCCCACTTGCACTGGGGTGGGGCCCAGGCAATACTGCTCTGCTTGGGGTTGAGCGTCTTGAGAAGAGCTAGGCTCTGGGTATTAAATGGTGAGTGAGGAAGGACGCTAGAATTCTGTGATAAAGAGAATGCGGGAATTCAATATTTCAATCAATTCATGCTTCTGTTTTTAAAAGTTCCCGATGAGAAAATTTAAACTTGGACTTTTTATATGTTGGTAGTTTCTGTAGGCTCATGTTTTCGATGAGAATACATGACCAAGGTCATTGCAAATATGGATAAGAGGGGCTCCCTCTCTCATTCCTGAACCTCACCCCCTTCCATCTGAAATGGAGGTGAAAGACAAGGGAGAAGTAGGGAGACAGAGCAAAGGAACATGGTGTATTTCACTCAGGAAAAGAACGTTTTAAGGCAACAACATCAGAATGTCTTCAGTGTCTGTCATGACCTGTAAAATAATTCATATCAGAGTGGCCGCCTTCTCCCACATTCAGCACCGAAGTGTAAAGAGCTGAAGAGCTACCATTCCTGTCACTAGAACAAGGAAAATGGTGAACAGAAAATCCCTGACCTTTCTGGATCTCCCAGGGAATTCTGGCAGTATAGCAGGCCCAAAGTCTGGGGAGGAAGCAAGCACAAAAGACCACACCAAGGGGACAGAAGCCTATGGGAGCGCATCGTGGGGACATCACAATGCTGAAAGCTGAATAGAGACAGATAGGAGAATACAAGTCTGGAGAGCTACAGTGCTGCCCAGAAGGGATGTGCTGTGGTCCAGGGACTCCACTGGGTTCTCACAGAATCCCATCTCACTGTGGACTATTGATGGAAGGGCTGTAAGGAGCAGAATAGGATAGAGAATTCACGGGAAGCTAAAGACCACAAGGACTCGAGAGGGGCGGGACTCCTATAGTTACACTAATTCACCCTAACCCAACCCCTGCCTGGATAATAGAAAACTCACACCAGAGGTCTGGCTGTGTTAGCTCATGCTATGGATGCATCATGCTCAACTCTGAACACATTACAAGATAGGGAAGAAATGTATGGACCAGAAAGACAAAGCAAGCAAGAAAACTCAGATGTGACACAGAGAGGGAATTTAAAATGGAAATTGTAAGAAAGTCTCAAAAGAAATTCAGGAAATGAAAAAGAGAAACAGGAAATATCTTTTATGAGGTTATTAGTAGGCAAGCCATAGCCGAGGGAAATTAGTGAACTTGAAAATATGTCAATACCAACTTGTCGAACTAGAAGGAAAAGAGAGAGAGAGAGAGCATGCACGCGCACGCACATACACACACACACACACACACACACACACACACACCCTACAAGTTGTCCTCAGCTCCTTACATACACTGTAGCGTGTACACACACACACACACACACACACACACACACACACACACACAGATGAGAGAGAGAGTTGGCAAGCAAGAGAGAGACTAAATAAATAAATGAATGTAAATGTTGTGGAAAGTAGTAACATATAACAAGTATCAAATAATGTTATTTGATTGTGGACTTAGTTTTTAAACACTGGAACAATCACTAAAGCAAGTTTTAAAAGATTTCATTGATTGATTGACTGATTGACTTTACGTCTGTAGGTGTTCAGCTACATGCATATCTGTGTTCCTCGTACATGCAGTGCCTAAGGAGGCTAGAGGAGGATGTCAGATTCTTCTGGGACTGGAGTTAGCAGACAGTCATTAGCCACTAGTGGGTACTAGGAATAAAACTGGGGTCCACTGGAAGAGCAGCCAGTGCTTTCAGTCTCTGACCCATCTCTTGAGCCCCCCTAAAAGAATGTTTTAAAAGTATACTTGCTATGTGAATAGGTGAGCTACAGTGAGATCATAAAATGTTCAGTCAAGGTGAGAGGAGACAAAAGCAGGGGGCGGGGCGAAGAGCCACGTGCAGCAGACGTGCAAGTGAAACTTCAGCAGATAATAATCCAGCTCTATCTATAAGCAGTTGAGACGTGTGAATTGCCTGCATCCACTGCAGAAGCTGTCGGCTACAAATAAAACTTCACTACCTGACGCATACAAATGGCTCATTTAAATACAGACTCAGGCCGGGTGACAGGGGTGGAGGGAAATCATGCTAACACCAATTCAAAGAGTGCCCGACTTGCTGCATTAGTTCTCTACAAAGCTAACTGAAGATGGAGATTTTCAAGGATAAGAGGTGAGTTACACGTTGATAATATGGCCAACTAATAGTACGTATTCCTTAGCAGGTGCCCAGTGAGCACAGTGTCAAGTCCTTAGGCAAAGACTAACTGAA